AGTTGCCGCCATGTGATTGGCTGCTTAGAAATTAAGTGTTAACGAGCAGTTGGACAGGTGTACCTCATAAAGTGGCCGGTGAGTGTACACATTTCTTTGGACAGCCCCACCTAAACAAAAGATGACAATGGACTCATTGTCATCTGACTAATTTGATTAATTTAGTCTATCTAGATTTGACATGACTATACAAATCATATCCAAGGGCAAATTATTTTTTATATTAAATAAGATCCTTGGTCAAAAAAGGTTATGTGCAATAAATATATATCATATCTAGGGCTGTAACTAGTGATTATTCTGCAAATCGATTAATCTGTTAATTATTTTTTTGTTTAGATAGCCAATAGTTCCTTAAAGAAGATTTTTTACGAAATTAAACTAAGTGAAACTAAAATTTTCCACTTGAGGAGTTCTGGATAGAGCATATTGACAGAAGATTTTTTTTTAATCTTAAATGTAAAATGTTTATTTATTTATTTTTTTACACTTTTGATATAAGTACTGCTCTAAGTGGGTCGCTCTGTCAGCTAAAGGCATGTTTTAGAATCTCTATTATCCAGTTAACGATTAATCAGTTACTAAATTAGTTGATGATCATTTCAACAATCGATTAATTGCAATTAATCCGATTAATTGTTTCAGCCCTAATCTATTCATTTAGTAAATATTCCACAAAATGCATCTCACTGCAGACTTTTTTGGCCATTACTATTTTGCCTGTACATTTTTGCTCCATTTTTTTTTGTGTTATTTTTAAAACCAATACTGGCCTGTTTACTTGTGTTTCCATCCATTGCCAGGGTTGAAGCCTGCCTTTACTGCCTTTCTCTGCTTTGCTCTCACAATGACTCTGGTCAGCCTAGCAGGCGTTGGCCTGGCCTTCCTAGTCTCTGCCAGCGTATCAACATTTGCGATGGCTAACATCCTCATTGCTCTACCCTTTGTCTTCATGATGGTAAGATTCCTGGGCACATACCTTAAAAACTTCAGTAAATTAGTTTCTGAACATGCACAGTTGATTCTGCTTGTTTTTGTGTGGCGTTCCTAATTTTGTCCCTTCATTTTCCTGTTTAGGTATTTGGTGGTTTTCTTGTCAATCTCAACTCCATGCTGAGCTGGCTGTCTTGGTTGAAGTGGATCAGTATATTCAGTTATGGGCTTAATGTAAGATATAATGCTTTGCAAAAGTATCCATACTTCTTGTAGCTTGTCACACATTATATCTTTAAACTTCAACCTATTTTATAAAATTTAATGAGATCATTTATTTGTCTCCTGTTAGGGTCTAATGTGTTACACCAACACAAAATAATTTATAGCTCTGAGGTATAAGGGAACGTGCTATTTACATCTCCATGTGTAATAATGCATTATTACACATGCTATGATGCTAGATTCTGCCAATAGTGTGCTTCATAATAGTTTGTGTTTTCAGCTTGATGGGTTCAGGCTTTAGTGTTTGATGATTGGTCTCGCTAGCATGGAGGTGTACCTTGACCTTGTTCTGTGGCACGATTTTTGGTGGTGGAAAGGGAGAATTGTTTAGTAATATGTAGTGTTTCTTTGTGTATGGTTTGGGTCTGCACAATAAACACTGACAGCCTACGGTTCTTCTGGATGTGTCAAGATGAGTGTGCCACAGGGAAAGGGTTTGACTCTAATGGGAATGCCTTCCTCCTCTACTCCCTTGATCTACTGCACCAAGCCAGATTGCGCTCTGCTTTCCCTTCCTCTGTCCTCCTGAGTTCCGGCTGCTACTGATCGCTGCAAAGCTTTTAAGTTTCCACTGTTTTGTTTCTTCTCAGTGCCAGTCAGTTTTGCTGCCAGGGACATCTGGCTGTTTAGCACTGGGGGCTGCTGATACTGTCCTTCAGTCCCACCCAATGGAACCCGGAGGGTTTCGGCTATTCCATCAGGATGTCTCTCTGTCTGCCTTGGGCTTTGACCATTATCTGGACCCAAGTTAGAAGGGCCATCCTGCAAGTTCTGAGTATTGTTGGGGTTCTACTAGTCTGACCCCTTTGACAACTTTGAGCCCTTGTGATCTATCTTAGACACATACAAAAATCCAATGAATCAAGGCAACACAACAAGTTCCTATTTTATTGATATTGTTTGTCTACTTTGATGACAGGTGCAGTCTTGATGTGATAAAGTTAATTACGCAATTAAGACACCATCTTATCCTCTAGGGTCAACATATTCTGGCCCATGTATGCAGCTTGCACCTCCCCGAGGTAGACCTAAAATGACAAGACACATGACATAACGTTGTGCTTGTGGGTCCAAATGATTACATGTTGTCTTGTCTGAACAAACACCTCTTCCCCCACATTATTAAAGTAAATGTTAATTAAGTAAATGTTTTAGATTTAGATTTTTCATCTGTTGTCCTTGGATGGATGGGTGTTACAAAGTCACCCTTAAAAAATTACACTTACACTTGTTAAAAACATAAATAACAAATATAATTTCACGCTTTCCTACATTAACATCTAACATACGACACTAACGGCACAGAGAAATTCCCCCCAATCAAAATAAGATTTAAAAGAAGTAGGTTGGTATTTAACAATCTCCTGTGGTACCAGGCCAATTGTACGATAATCTTTGCAACAAACTTCCATTCCAATGATTTCTTTAAGAACAGGCAAACTGAGCCAAAAAAAAAATAAATTCCTGGGAGGAAAAACACGAATGTTTGCTTTCTCCTTCATGGCTTATACATAAATGTAATTCTAAACCTCCTATAACTTTATTTTAATAAAAGCTCTCTTCTCAACACATATAGAGGCCACGTTTGAGGTGGAGAACCATTCCAGTTTTTTATTTTTTTATTTTCATATAGCTTTATTTACCAGCGTGTTGTGTAGGTGGAGAGGAATGTTTTTTGAAAGTCTGCATTTGCACTGAGCCTTATCTTTTTCAAATGATGAATAGCACAAATGCATATCAGTGCTACTTGTAACTTTCAAGGCTTATGATATTGTTTTATAACCTACTCCTCCTTTAAGCTTCTCAGCGTCTTCCTCCCTGACCTGTCTGGATTTCTTTTTTGTTTTGTTTTCTGTTCTTCAGAATATAGAACATGTCTATTTATTTATCCGGGGGTAATTCTCAGGTTTTTGTCTGTGAATCACGTGTGCCTTCTAAGCTCAAAGTCCTCCTATAACTTTGTTATGTTTCATGATAACAACACAGATTCTTGATTTTTGTTTCCTAGGCTGTATATATTAACGAAATGAAAGGCCAGATTTTCTACAGCAACAAAACCATGTGAGTGTGTTTAAAGCACCGCCTTTAAAGCCCACAAAAACATCCACCCAATGATAATAATGGTCTCTTCTGTGCTGCAGTTTCCCTGGGGAGCTATTTCTGGAGAGCATGGACATTGACTACTCAGTGTGGGGCTTCTGGCAGAACGAGGTGGCTCTGCTGGGAATCATTACTGTCTGCATGATCCTGACGTATGTGCAGCTGCGGCGAATCAACCGCTGGAAGTGACAAGCTAATTTTATCATCAACTATCTATATTTTATTGTGTTTTTATTTAAGTGATGTGGACCCATTTTTAAAGTATGTACTTTAAGAAAATTCTTTTTTTGTCCTTCTGATAATACTTTCCAGAAAAACATAAAAATGTGTATGTTTAATGACACACGTGCAATCTCACACTCAGTGACGTAGTCGCACTAAACACACGTGTTGTAACATTTGACTCTCTGGCTGATAAGCCGCTACTTAGCACACTCGATACGAGCACGGGGGAGTGTCTGACAAGAGGCAAGCAGAAATCTAATTCCTCACAAAGCTACTTACAGTAATGGAGCTAACTTTAGCTGCAAAGAAGAAAATAAATACATAATCCACACTTTTCCTGTTTGCCTCTTTTTTGAATATGAAAACAGTGAATGCACAAAGCTCTCCAAAAATGCTTTGGAGAAAAAGAAGGCTTAATGTTTGCCTATTTTGTATGACATGTAGCAAGTCTGTAGCAAGTAGCAAGCTTCCCAATAGAATAGAATAGAATAAGTTAAAATAAAAAAAAGAACAAAAAATACTGTAGAATTATTCAGAATGTATTCAGAACATTTTCATAGGGGTGGCCAAGCAGGGACCAATGTGCTTTGTACCAGCAGCAAAATTAACAAGCATCTGTATTTTCCAAATAGAGACAAATTAGACTTTCCTAAGGCCTTTGCTAACAAATAATTACAGGTATTTACATGCATTATCCATGCTTTATACATTAAAGATATAGTAAATTATCTTTCAGCTTTGTGTTCTGGCAGAAAATCTTATCTACTTTTATTTTATACTTACATTTCCTAAAGATTTTCCTCTCTACTATTATCAATAATTGCTGTGCATAATATTAACATTTACATATAGTAACACATACATTTCATAAAATTGGTTATTTATCTTTAATTTCACTGAAGTTCTCAAAATAGCGCAATTTTATGCACATAATTGTATTTATTCTATCTATTGTTAGCATATTGATGTGAGTAATGAACTATTAACTATGTGCTGTTAGTTTATTGTTAATATACAAACAATTGAAATGTGAAACATTCCACTTGAGAGTATCACTGCTGCCACCCTCTGATTTAGACGGGAACTGCTTGTGAATTACGTACAAATCAGATCACCTGGTTCCGCCCCTTGTAGCTCTGCCGCTGTCACCGTAACCCTCCAGATGCAATATTCTACCGAACAAAAACTAGAGACTTATTTAAAAAAAAATATAGATATATATATAGATATATATATATATGTATGTTTCTTGAATTATTAATTTTGTTTTGCAGGGCGTAATTTAAAACATTCTAAAAAATGAAATGCTGAAAGGCTGTCTCTGGGTTTTGAAGATTAATTTTTGAAAGGCAATGTAATCCCATTTCCATTACCGTCTAGTTCTGTTAGTGTAATTACGTTAGTGAAGTGCATCCAGAACCTATTCAATATTTGATCATTATTTTAGGTTTATTTTAAGCTTAATTTTGAGAATCCCCCTTAATCACCTCTTCATGACTAATGAAATTCTTTAACCACATGGAACCTATTTTTTTGAACACCATGATTATGATATTAATAATATTTAATAAGTTTACCATCATTGGAGTATGGACAATATCAAAGGGCACCAAATAGAAATGTAGCTTGGGTATCATATATGCTTCGGCCACCTCTACATACACATATGTATGTTTCTTGCAGATTAAAAAAGAAATAATGATAATAATAAAAACTTGTGTGGGTTGATTAAACAAATTTTATTTCATAATATGTTTCAAATTGACATTATTTGCCTACAAACTATGCAAGATAGAGGACATAATTAGAAAGAAATTAAACTCAGAAATACCATAAAGGTAAAGCATAAAAGAGATAAGAAATAACAGTAGAATAACATTCAGCAGCAAACTTTAGTATCAGATATCTTTAATCTCCACAATAAGAAATAAATTCTTGTTCTCTTTTGCTAATATAGCACAGACTTAGATCTCTATAAGGGATTTGCTATCATCACTTTAATGAAATTTAAATATTTTAGTAACTAGTATATTCAAAAAATATGTTCATTTGTCAAAACTGTACAGAATGGGGCATTTTATTTACTCTTGGATCTTCTTTGTTTTAAAACCATTATTAACACTAATCTACTTAGCTTTTAACAAGTAAAATTTTACATTTGCAACAAAACTAATACATTCTCAAGCTTATAGATAGATAATTTTTAAAATCAAATCCAGTTATATAATTGTTTTATTTTTATTGACAAATGTTGCCAAAAAAAATGTTTTATAGAGCCTTTAAAAACTATCCAAACTGCTCACAGTCCTACTCTGGCTCTTCCCCACCATCACACCTGTGCTCTCCAGTCCACGCAGCCATTCGGTGCATTTCAGGAGCACTCGCTCATCCACACCAGCGTCCTCCTCATCTTCATACTCCACATCATCGTACTTGTGTTTCTCATTCAAGAGGGAGATTTTTATAATTGAACTTATGTCTCCCAGTGGAGCATCTGGATTGTTTTTACCAGCAGCTCTGCTGTTCCTACGAGGTATTGACTGATGCCTTCTTCTTCTAGAGTCAGTGGTGCATCCAGATGTGCTGAGTCCACCTACAGCATTTCTGGCAGATGATCGCTGGTGTTTCTCACTGTTTCTCCGCTGCAGCAGCAGAACAGCTTCAGGTGTGAGCGTTAGTGTAAAATGCATCTCCTCTTTATTTCTAGATCTAGTCTTTGCCACAGATTCATTATTTTTGGAGTTGTGGCTGACTTGTTTGTGCTCCCCAGAGCTTGAGGAACGGGGGCTGTCAGTTTGAGACAACTGCAGCAATCGTTCTCTTTTGTTTGTCTGCAGCTCCCCTAAAGAAACTCTTCTGGCTGAGGTTAGATGACTGCTTGGCTGGCTCCTTCTCCCCAGTTGCTTTAAATTTAACGCCAGTCTCTCCTTGACTGAGTTTGCTTTGCCTTCTCTTGCAACTTTCTTCCTTGGTCCGCTGCTTTTAGATGATGCATTTTCAGGTCTCTCCTTTCCAGTTAGCCCTGACACAGGTTGTGTGATCGAAAGTTGTGGAATGAACGGCATTTTGGAAACACAAAGGAGCAAGTAGGACAGAAGCTCCGTTTTCCTGTTAAACTGCTGGTTGAGAGAGAAAGAAAGTGTCAAGGTGGAAATCAGTTCAACGAGAAAAGCAGGATACCTTGAAGCATCGTCAGCCATGCAGGGGTCAGTTGGCAGCTAGTTCATCACTGCTTGGATCTTCTTGTCCACCAGAGAATGAAAGCATCTTGACGTTTTATATCCGAGTAGCAAAGAGGGCGTGGTGCAGCATGCTTCATGGGATATCTATGGCCTCAGAGGAGGTGAAGGAAAAGTCACATTATTCCCAGGCTCAAAGATTTAAAATAAACCCACAGTTGTAATCCTCCAGTGTGATCAGCGGGAGCATGTCTAGTACACACAGAGTGCACATGTAGCCATTAATCCAGGTTGGCTGTTTGTTTGTTTTTTAACAGAGTGGAAGAGACACTCCCTACTTCCCCCTGTTGAGCAGATTAAATAAAAAAATAGCAAACAATACCATAGTGGAAAAACTGGAATAACTGAACTTATTGATTGACAAATATATATTCTTTTAATTAAACACATATTTTTAGATGTATTTTAAAAGTTTATTTCAAGACCTCTGCACCAAACTCAAGCCTCCCAGCAGATTGCATTAGATTATCTCCTATGATGTTCTGATTTGATCGAATCCAACTTGACCTCCAAAGCCTGCAGGTTTCAAGTACCAGATAAAATAAAGAAGCCAGAGTATGACCACCAATGTGCTTAACTGTGGTCATACAGTCTAGTATCATTCTATCTGCTACAAACCAGACCAAAAAGTTCGAACTTAATTCATCCTTTCAGAGAACAGAACCTAAGAACATCCACTGATATTTTTGACAGTTATAAGCAAATTGGAGATGACTTTGTGTCAGTAGTGTTCTATGTGTTGGAGTTAAAAACACATATTTGTTTAAGGCAAGTTTATATAGCACAATTCAGGACAAAGACAATTAAAAGTGCTTTTCAAGAATCAAGTGATAGAATACAAGGTAAATAAAAGCAAAATAAAAGCAAGTACAGCTGAAAACATGAGTAAAACAAATAAAACACTTGGACCACAAACTAAAATGAATTATTTTTCAGTTAACAGTTTAAAATTCTGCACAGAGAGAAAAACCTATTGCAAGATCATTAAAAATAAAATAATTATAATAAAAGGAAGAATAGTTTGACTTCAAATATATAGATGGCACAGTCAAAGGTCACTAAAAACATTTATTTGTAATCTATAATCAGCTACATGAATCAGTCATGAGGAGGGGATGGACTTTGAGCTGGAGGGATATGAATTTTATTATAAGAACACAGTGGACATGAATGGTGAAGGAATTGCTGTGTATGTCTACAGAACTCTGAGACATAAAGTAACTTATAAATGATAAAGGAAACATTAATAGATTATATTTTTGCAAACTTTATTGATAACACAATAGGTGGATTATCTTATAAGGATATGAGTGACCATCTCCTGGTAGCTATACTGTAGTCTATGTCAACTGCTAAAGGCAAACTGGTAAGGATGACACACAGGTACAAAATAATAAGAACAGAGGAATCAATGATTAGATTTAGAGAAGATCTGCTTAGTTTAAATCTGGAGTCAATATATCAGGAAAAACCATAGCTCAGCTTTAGAAGCATTCCTAAACATCAAAGAAACATATAAAGAATGTCCAATAAAACATACACAAGAAAAGGTAAATATTCAAAGTCTTCGTGGATCACAAAAGAATGCCTATAAAATAAAAGTCAACACTATATAAAGATTTCTTAAAGCATAGATCAGCAGAAACAGAAAATAGTTATAAAAGATATGAGTGAATTAACCAAACATTTTAAGCACAACTTAACAGGTATATTTTAGGAAACTGTTAAATGAAATATTAAAAAACATGTAGAAAATATTGCCATTACAAAATTATCCGACAAAATTAATTATCCACAGTATGGTACAAATGGTAGGCTGACTTAGACGGCAGGGCTTTTCATTGCTTTTAGCTTAACTAGACTAGCAGTTTACAGAAGGGCTTCCATCCTCAGTGTAACCCTTACGTGTCCACACGGCGAGACCATGTGGCTAAATCGCTCCCACTGCCCTGCTAAAGAAGCAGTCATTGATATTAGTGGGTAGAAAAACCCATATTCCTGTATAAAGCTGGAGATCTTTATTGAAATAGAATCAAAGAAAAAAAAATTAGCAAAACATTTAGCATAATTTTCTTTTCTAAAAACAAAGACAACTTTTTGGTATAGGCCAGTCAAGAAAAAAAATGCTCCAAAAAGAATTATTACCATACAGGACTGTTTTCAGTCATCACTTTTAGGAGAGAACGTCAATTGTGTTGGGCAGCAAAACATCTCAAAGAAAACCAAATCTAATCACCCTCAACTGAATTTATACAGAGAATTACATTTCAGATGGTCCAGATTCCCTGACTTCAGTTTCTTCTGCAATGCAGTCCGACATGGAAATCTCTTAAGACATAATTTTCCTCATCTTCACTGGTTTGCAGATCCAGTGGCCTCCCTTGTCTTTTAGACATTCACTTACTTCTAATCTCACCTTTTTTCCTGAAATCTCTAGAAAGGTTTGCACTTTTACATTTCCTTTGCAATGTGCTAGCATCAGGATTTAATATAGATGCATATACACACACACACACACGTTTTGGCAGAAGTTTATCCTAAAGGTTGCAGAAGCAGTTCTATTTTGCAATCTTCCGATGGCAGACGGTGTAACGATTCATTTCTTTTTTTCAACAGCTACTTCAGGTAGAAGCTTAAAATCATTAGAAAATTGTTTAATCCTTTTTATAATTACATCTGGTGACAGGCTAACAAACTTGGTCATGGAAAAGTACAACATCAAAACCCATAAAAATGTACCGTTTATATTTTTCTTTGAAAAAAAGCCAAGACTAGGTCACAGAAAAACATTTATTCATATTTTTTTTTTTAAATGAGATTAAAATCTATTTAAATATTGCAGTTTTACTGAAGGGATTTTTTGTTACACAACCAAACATAAAACTTGACTTGAACACGCTGGTTGAGGAGTCATCATTTGAAGAATGTCCTCCTCTCCACATGAAGAACATGGTGGCAATGTGGACATATGTGGCAGGCATCCTTGAAGTGGTTTATAAAAAAAGGAATCAGGCAACAACCAAGAATCAACCTGTGAAAAAAAAAAAAAAAAAAGAGTTATGTATATATATATATACACATATACACACACAGATCAGTTCCACCTAATGAGGTAAGCAAAGGTTTGGTCTTAAAATGCATATTTCTTACCCACAAAGCACAAATAGGAAACACATTAGCCAAGCAAAAGTCCCCACTCGGAAAGTGACCTCCGTGGTAACCTGACTTTGACAGAAGCTGCAAGTCATCAGGGCTGGAGCTCGACATGGGTCAGTCTTATGTCCCCTGATCCTTACTAGAGGATTATCAGGGTCTAATAAAAACCATAAGGACATGGAGATTAACTAAGGTCAGGAAAAACTTAAAGATCAGATTGACCAATCAGCAAGATTCAGATTTCTTTTTAAATTCAAACTATACCTGGAGAACAAAGACACACACCTGCAGAAGGTGGCCCAATGGAAGTTTGCTGTTGAGGCCGTTTATCACAGGGGTTGACTATGTAAACGCCAGAAGTTTTCTTTGGGGCACCATCTTTTAATTGAGAAATTTAAGGAAAGTTAGAATTTAACTAAAACATCCATCTGATTTATAAACGTGCTTCAGCCCATATTTTATGAACTTTACCTGATAAAAAATATGGCGGCGGTGCAGGAAATGAATCTTCCAATGTTGGCAACATCTCCATGTGGAAAGTTCAGTGGAGCACTACAAAGAGAAGAGCACCACATGTGCTTTAAAGTTTTTTTCAGCAGTAGCCAAACCTGAAGTCCTACCAGGTGAAGCTAATTAAGATTTTCTCAGACTGTGTGGGTGTGAAGCATGTGTCAAACAGTAAGGAAACAGAGGCATGTCTCACAAAACCAAAATAAGGGCTTAAGAGTTTCCAGACATTAATTAAGCCTCAGTTCGGTTCCACAACATCAGTACCACATAAGTTATTATGAGGCTTATTCTGTGCTTCTAGGCTGTCTGGACCAGGCTAATATAAATGTATATGTGGACTTCAGAGCTTTTTGTTCTAAGATTGACAGGACTGCCTATAATAGACTATTGCTGTGTTGAGGGAATAAGAAAAATAACTGATAAAGAAGCAATATTGTCACACAAGTCAGGCTATAAAAGTGGCTCCAAATACATTTGTCTTTCTTTACAATGATGTGCCCATATTCATTTATGTTTTACCAACAATCTTGTATGAGCGTTTCCACTTTTCTAGAGATGGCATCCAGTGGGTGTGCAGGTGGCTTGGTCTAAATATGAGCAATATACACAACAGAACAAAACATTGACTCCTACATGGATGACCTTTGTTGGCCTCAGATACTTAACTAGTGGTATGTTCCTGTATGTAGAGGGATATTGTGATTATTTTAGTCACTATTTGTCAAACTATCAGAAGTGTGTAGTTGGCATTAAAAATATATATTCACATCTTTATAACCTTTCCTGGCCACAGAAGAATGAACTTTATCAAGGAGGGATTCTACAATATTGCAAGTAATATGAATTAGGCTACACATCACAAAATAAACTTTGGAACAGGTGGATTACTTACGGTAGTTTTATTTTGATGCAGATTTCCTAATAGTAACACTGCAAGCTCCTCTGAAGCCTGTGAATAGGATTTTGTTAACAGACAATCCTACTATTAAGGGAAGAGTGAATTTTGGTTAGGCCTGTCAAATACATACATTTATTATGTGAATGACATTACAAGAATGCCTTTTGTTGCATAAGATGAGCTGTGATGCTGACCGCATCTTCAGCAACATGGAAGCAGAGTGGCTAGGGCTCTGTCCATGACCTTTCCATCGCTGGACACCTTTTAAAACAGGTCATCCTTTGCTTGAGCCAAAGTTTACTGTTGGTGTTAATTCTGGAGATGATGGGGCAGCCTCTGTGCTACACATGAGCCCTTTTTAACACCAATAATAGGTAAGAGATTAAAATATGTTTGCAGGCACCTTCTAAGTCATTTGTGCAAGACATTATATAATAGTCAACCATTTATCCAGATACTTGTCTGCAAAATATTCTGAAGTTTCATCTTTGCCTGCTGCCAGTCACATTAACTCTGTATGAAAAATGACAGAATGAGTTGCAATAATGGTGATAAATCATATCTGCTGCTTCTGCCAGATGCCATGGATCAGTACCTGATCCAAAGTCTCCCACGTTCAGGTCACAGACCTAAACCACAAAAACAGTTCAAACCTGTGACAACTGTTACAATGTTAGCTTCCAATGGGGATTTTTCAAGGTGCTGGTTGTTTGTTTGAGAATTATATTATGATGTTTTCAGTCAGTAGAAGCGTTTAGGAAAATCATATTTTTGCCTACTTAAGAATTTAGTCGGTTTGCAATTGTTTGGCGAATCAACGATTCTGTGATTTTACCTCATGGTCTATTGAAGAAAGCTGTGGACCTGCATTTGGATTGATTACTTACACCTGGCTCGACATAGGAACACGGCAGACAAGCACATGAATACGCTGGTCAAATTGGGAGTATAGTTTTCCGAAAAAGAACAAAAGCTACACAAATTTAGCACAGGGATCAAACTCTCAATTATAAAACCCTCCCTCCATGAGGTAGGCTCTGCTTATACAGGGTGTCATGCAAAGGATCGTGGACGGGCGGCAGCTAGGGAGGTCAGGAGGTCCCTATGCCAACTGCATACTGCTACCCGGTCTTAGCTCCTTGCTACCAGAATTGTTCAGACAGCGCTTATTACGTCTCCACCATTTCTGCCTTGGCTTAAGTGTCCTTACTGATTTGAGGGATACGGACTGAGCCTTGACCATTTTAAAAGGTGCCTTAGTTGGGCTCCAATTCAGAAAGGGGATAAGTGAGAACTCAGTAGTTCGGGGTAAATCCCTTCATACCCAGGATTTTGTGTTTCAGAAAGGCTGATAGACATTATCCCTAAACAAGTTATTCCAGCAAGATAGTTAGTGAACCAACTTTTGTTGATATGAAGATTTCTATAAGTGAGACCCAACAGAAAGAAGGCCTCAGAAACCATATGTCCTTTATTAGCATGTTTATTATTCTAGCATGTACCAAATAATTACTATTCAGCCATTCATATGGTTTTGAAGAAAATATTGCAGAGCTGTAAAATCTCGCTTGAAAATGTTAATTGCACAGAATCAATATAAAAAAGGCAATTTTATTCTCTTTATATGCAAAAAATTGTTGATTTTTAGATTAGTTACACTTTAAACACATCTATCTATCTATCTATCTATCTATCTATCTATCTATCTATCTATCTATCTATCTATCTATCTATCTATCTATCTATCTATCATAAAGTGTTAGGTCGATTTGCATGTTTCCATTGGAGCCACGGGGGGCGCTCTTTCGCGCAGGCTGTGCTCGCTGTAAAAACATTCGCTGTGAACGGGTTTGTTCACTTTGAATGTAACCACTAGCGTGACGATGCTAAGCTAGCTGTCAGTCAGGTATCAAGAGGGTTTAGCTGTCGAGTTAGCCACCGGATGCTCTCGCTCTCGCCTTCCTGGTCTTCTTGACATTCCCTATACATTCGTGGACCGAATTCGTGTCGACTGACCAGAGTCCGCGAATTCAAGTCCACCTCTGATTTAACCTCGGTCCTTTACCCACTAGGCTCGTGTGACTTAGCTCGCCGGCTAACAAGACCGCACAGTCGGACACAACCCCCGGCCGACGAGGTAAGTTAGGCTCTGGGTTTGGCAGGATTTGATGCTATAGCTAAGCAGTCCGCTCTAAGGAAACACCGAGGTCTGAAAATACATGGAGGACAGGCCTTATGCTAGTAAACGGTTACTTTGGAAAGACACGGAGCGACCTAAACTAGCTTCGTCTAAACGGCTAGAAATTTGTATAGCATTAGCCATCTTTTTAGCTAGCAGTTTCAATAAGGTGTTTATAAGGTTAAAGACTTTTCGCTGGACAGCCACCCTCCCCCCGTCGTTGCTAGCTAACCAGTTTCGCGGTTGCTCATACATACAATTTTTTGCATATATCTGTGTGTGTGTGTGTTTTTATTTTTGTAGGTTATGTACGCTGATGCTAATGTGTGCTATCTTGAGGAGTTATCAATAGTTCAGTGCTATAAGTTATGTGTAATCAATTAATTCAGCTAATTACTACTAAACATACTCAAAGTTCTGTATGCTTAAATATTTAATGTTGTGTTTTTAGCTGTATATTGTGTTTTGCCAGGTGTAATTCCAGGAGCTTAATTTCGGTTTAGTTGTTCGCTCCCTATGAGTTGTCTGTCGCTATCTGCTAACTAAGTTTTTGTTTTGTGGCCGTGCAGAGTTGCATTTAAGGACCACACCCAGAGAAGATGTCCCTTCATCAGTTTCTATTGGAACCCATCACCTGCCACGCGTGGAACCGCGACAGGACACGTAAGGCTGAACCTAAAGTGTATAAAAAAACACCACTAACAAAACTGTTCTTTATAAATTCCAACTACTGTCTTTGGCTGCGTGTCAAATCCCAAATAATAACGGCTGTTAATGTGTGAATGAGTAACAAAAGGTGAACAATATGTGTCAGGATGGGCTTGGTTTCAGTCTAAGCACCCACTGGAATCTGGTCTAGCTGGTTTGTTATCCTTATTTTCATCACACTTGTTGCTTTTCTTTTCTTTTTCTACCTTCAGAAATCGCCATTAGTCCAAATAACCATGAAGTTCATATCTACAAGAAAAGTGGGAACCAGTGGGTGAAGACTCATGAGCTGAAGGAGCACAATGGACACATCACAGGTATCTTATTTTACATCATAATTGACATAAATGTGTTAAAGTTAGTAATAAAAAAAAAAGATATTTTATCGTTTGACTATATTTAGTGTGTTTGTGCTGTTTGGAGAGTCACAAAATTTTATTTCTAAGTTTTGGATTTTAATTTTTTTAAAAAGAAGCTTAAAAATGTAAGATTTTTTTTCTTGTCTATCTTAGGAAATATATATATTTCTTACTTCTTATCAAAACAATTTCATCCCCACATGGATTATTAAGATCAAATCTCTAACTGTAATAAAATGATAATAATCTGAATATCTTTTTATTTAAACAAAAATGCCTCTATAGATACTAAAATAATGTAGAGCTTATTATATTTTTTCATATTGCTACATTCATTGGTTATTTAATACAAATAGACACATTTGGAAGGCAAATAAAAACCGGTTTACTTGAGCAGACTGGTGTTATTTTTAGGGTTGGTTTACCTGTGACCTCCATTTAAAGACATAGTTCACTCAAACTGCATCATTATTTTTCATAAACATGTTTTTTTATTATTATTATTTTAAAGTCTTTTTTAATTGTTTATCTTTTTATTTTTTATTTTGTTGGTTTCCTTTAGGTATTGATTGGGCTCCCAAAAGTGACCGTATAGTGACATGTGGGGCAGACCGTAATGCCTACGTGTGGTCTCAGAAGAAAGGAGTGTGGAAACCCACTCTGGTCATCCTCAGGATCAACCGGGCGGCCACCTTTGTCAAGTGGTCTCCGCTGGAGAACAAGTTTGCCGTTGGCAGTGGAGCTCGACTCATCTCTGTCTGCTACTTTGAATCTGAGAATGATTGGTAAGAATGAAATGAAAGTTTTGAAAAAATTTGGAGTTTTACTTTATTTCAAGTTTTGAAAAATGCAACAGAATATGGGTAGGGGTTATTTACTTTTTTTCCCCTTTTCTTTTACTATGAAGAATTGTGATTTTATTACTTTTATTCCCTTTATCACTGCTGGAGTTGGTGTCTAATTTCACTGCCTTTTTAAGAGTATCAAAGAAGAAAAAAAAATCACAGCTTCTATTTTTTTGCTGTTAGATCCACTTAGAGCAATATTTTATGCTGAAGTTGGTGCTGTTCTTAAGCTTAATGTTCAAATTAAAATGATCAGATTTTTTTATTGTACAGACTTTGATTTTTTATTTTTTTTTAGATTGCATATCGTAGGATTTCATCTGCAGCAACAGTGATGTACCGATATTTAGTTGGGTCTCTTTCACGGAGTTCCCTTATTCATTAAACTTCTTGCTTCTCATGTTGGTCAGGTGGGTGAGCAAACACATAAAGAAGCCAATCCGTTCCACCATCCTCAGTCTAGATTGGCATCCCAATAATGTCCTCTTGGCTGCCGGCTCGTGTGACTTCAAGTGCAGGTACAGTTTGTATAAAGTAACAAAGGATTGAAAAACCATAGACAGAAAAAAGCAAAGCTGCAGATGGTAAAAAGGAAACTGTCCAACCCCGTTTTCCGCTAATTTTATTTTCCTCGTCTCTTTCTTCATTTTCTGCTCCTTCTTGATCTCCAGAGTTTTCTCAGCCTACATTAAGGAGGTAGAAGAAAAACCAGGCCCCACACCCTGGGGCAGTAAAATGCCATTCGGGGCTGTACTAGCAGAGTTTGGTGGAGCAGGTCAGTATTTTTGTCCTCATTAATGGAAATTCAGTCTATTCAAAATGGGGGGGAAACATCAGCATGTTTTTCTTTCCCCATGCTGTAGGTGGAGGAGGATGGGTCCACTCCGTCTCTTTCTCAGCCTCTGGGAACCGTCTGGCCTGGGTCAGCCATGACAGCACCGTCACTGTGGTCGACAGCTCTAAGACTGCCAGGTATGATGTGTGGTTTTTGTTTTTTTTTTGTACACATAGAGGGATTGCTGTTACCTCCCAAAATATTGTGGTTTTTTTTTTTTATTAGTTTTGAAATATCAAACATTTCTAGATTTTGTTTAATTTTTTTATGATGTCATATGGTGCTTAACTCTTAAGAAGAAATGAAAATAAATGTGGAGGTCTGTCTTTGGGCTGTTGAAATGATGTCTGCAGATTTAAAAGCAGCTTCCATGGTTCTGTTGTCCTCTTTTCTGGCAGTCTTGCCATGTCATAGAAAGTGTGCCATAGTTTTTCACCTTTATGATGGACAGACTGGGTTCTTATACTGTCCTACCTTTTGGAGTTTGATTTGAACAGGGGTTTTGAGACTGTAGTATAGAAGTATAGTAGAAAAGAGTTTGTTACACTTTTTATGTTTCCAGTATTTCTAGTCAATGATTTCTAGTCAAAAATTCCTACCTTGATTTGTTTAATTTTTCCATCTTTCTTTTTTCCATCTTTAATTTAGAAGAAAAATCCTTGCTTAAGTGGTTTTTAGGTTTATGCTTTATTTTAATTTCTATTGGCTATTTAATAGATATTTTTTCTATTGTTTTTTTCTATTCTCCATATTTGTTTAGAGCTTTTAACACATTTAGGAATTAAAAGAAAAAAAAAACAAATTTAAATGTAAAAAGAGAAAATTAGCTTAAAAAAAACATAAGAAGGAATAGGTTTTTATTTGAAAAATATTGCAGTTAATGACAGAGAGCCTGTCTTAAGAGATTACCTTGCAAATGCTTTAATAGATTTACAAGTTTTTTCACCATTGACAGTGGGGCATATATTCTTGCACATGATCTTGGGTAAAGTATCACTTCAGTGATCAAAGAGTGCACGGATGCAAAAACATGAAAACACTGTTACAAGAACACAGCAGTCACATTTTATGAAGCCTAACATAGTTTATCATCAATCCAGTTTGTCCACCAATAAATTCCAGCTGTTAGTGGCTCAGTATGGGGGAATGGTATCTCCATGTCTCTCCACTGTGCAGCAGTCTGCTTTTCAACAAACCCTGTCTGACTTTTCTTTCTCCATGGTGTTACAGCTAAACTCTAACTTTAGTCATATCTGATTCATTTTCTTGCAAAAACAAGCAGACATTTCTCTTGAGGTATTTGGAGGAATTAATCCTAAAGGTCCAAATTTTTAAGTTTACATTTTGGTCCTCGCACATGGAACAGCTTCCATCAAATAACACCAAAATATGTTTGATTAAAAAATCAGATCATGCAATTTTCAAAACATGTACACATTGATGATGATACTCTGTTATTAAAGTGTTTTTCAAAAGTACTTGGTATTACAGCAAACAGTGCTAACCATTGTCCAGCATCCAATTAATGTGTCCTTGTAAACCCCATCTACTGAGATGTCATCTAGGCTCATAAAGGCCAAGTGAGGTGTAATGCTTGAGAAATAATCATTACATTTGATGATTATAGGAATTGATGTGACCCATGCTATTTGTATGGCAATCCCCTGTAATTGTTTTAAATAGAGTAAATCTGATGTTGGTAAATGTGTCTGTTTCTAGTCCCTCACAGCTGAAGACAGAGTTCCTGCCTCTACTCGGTGTCATTTTTGTCTCGGAGAACAGTTTAGTAGCTGCGGTGAGTGTTAAACACTGATACAAACAATGCCCAGCCAGGCATGAGCCATGATATTAATCTGCTATCCGGGTTTTTAGGGCCACGACTGTTGCCCCATGCTCTTCCGTTGCGACGATGGCGGAGCACTGACGTTCGTGTCGAAGCTTGACCTCCCCAAACAGAGCATCCAGAGGAATATGTCTGCCATGGAGCGCTTCAGGAACATGGACAAGAGAGCTACCACCGAGGACCGTAACACAACCCTGGACACACTGCACCAGAATAGCATCACGTAGGTCTACACAATACTTTAATTCATTCATTTATTTTTTTTTTGTTTTTTTTTTTTTTTTCCAAATTCACTTAGGTAAAACCTAGGATGTAGAATATCTGTTAAAAAAAAATCCTCAAGATTTGTTTTTTGTTCTTTTATCAAAGTATTATTAATAGCGTACTGAGTAAACCTCAGGGTCAATCTAGCTTTCTGAAAGCTGGCTCCTTCCTCACTTAGATCTGTTTCCATGGTTACTTATACCTTTTGTTTCATAACGGATAGGATTGAGTTGGATCAAATCCCAGTCATTGCAATATCATTAATCGCAGTATCTACAGTTTTAAAAGGTTTTATGCATTCATGCTTTTGCAAATCGTCGGTGCATTTGACCAATGGGATGGACAATGAGACTATTGAGGTTACCGTAATGGTAAAAAAAAGAGAGTCAAGATCATCCTCTGAGTTTTCAGCAATAGTAAATGTTATCCTGATAGCCTGCAGCACTAATGGTTATGCAGAATTTAGGACTGGAACTTTTTTTATTTTGTCATATTCTAAACATAACACTAGTATTGTTTATTACTATTTCAATTCATACGGGGGCATGTTGGACACATTCATGTCTTTATTCGACTGACATATTGATGTACGTATTCACTGCCTTCTTTGTATGCAGCATACTTCCTGTGAGATCCACCTAATTTACATTAGCAGTGATATATCTACAGCCTTTATCCCTGCTACACCTTCCTTCATTTTAGCGCCATGATTTTAGGTGGTAGTTTTACTGAAACCACATATCTTAAGATGGAGGGTGAGTTGGGTAGATTGGGGTCAGTCTCATTGAGTATTTTTCCATCTTTACAGAACTGAAATATCAAAATTTACTGAAGTGCTTTCTACAAAAACTAAATTGTGGCATCCCTTTTGGGGTAACAAACAATCTTTGTTATTAAGAGCAATGCACAGCAGAGCTTTAGGATGCACATTAAAAAAGTAACCTTTTTTTTCTTCTATGAAATCAGAAATCTGCCAAAAAGGCAGACACACAAATACATATACGAGAGCTTTCATTTAATGCACATAAACTGCTCTCCACGCACATTTTACTGGTGCAGATTTAGTACCACGAGACTGCAATATGTTATGCTCAGGGCTCGCTTTCCCCGTGCCTGTAGCCTCTCTCCTACTCACCATTTCTGCACGTTTATCTCAGCTTTTGTTAGTTTGAGGGTGGTATCCAATGGCTACTTTTAGGAAATCCAACCACTAAAGTCCAATTTATGCTTCTGACGCATTACCTCTGCAACCGTCAAACCTGTCTCAGTGCACGACCACGCCCCCTGCACACAAAAAAAAAATCCTGACTACGTGTCACACCGTCGCAAACCCGCACAGACCTCAAGCGTATGCCTTTGCATGCCTTTCCGGCTGTCTGTGTGGTCGTCCTTCTCGTTTCGGTGCCGGGGCGCACCATTTTTAAAAACCGAAGAACAATGGATAACTACGACGAAAGGTTAATTGAGGAGATTCGGAAGTACAACCACCTGTACGATGCTTCAGACAAATTATATAAAAATGCCAAGGTTTCTGCCAAAATGAAGTTCTCATGACCGTCCGCCGAAGTTCTCGCGAGTTCTCGAATAGGTTCCCCCTTGCACTTTGGCGGGAAACTGCTGTGCTTCCCTAGAAATCCCAGACCGACGGTGCAGAAGCATACCAGCAAAACTTGTTGGCGACCAGACCCAAGCGTATGTGCTGTGTGTGGTTGCAGAAGTTTAATCTGCCCTTAAGAATGCACTGTTTGCTTCCTGGTTGTGCCTAAAACAATAGAACTATCTCAAGTCTAATCACTGTTGCCTGCAATAGTTGAAGTCTGACTTCAAATCTAACAGCCATCTCTGTCATCAACTGACAATCGTATAAATATAATCCTGGATATACAAAATGGTAAACAGTAGCTGCAAACTGGCTGTAGATGTTTGGGTTCAGCTCAAAATTAGTATTGGGAGTATAAACAGTAAAGCTAACATGAGCTTAACCCAATTTTAAAGAATATTGCTACTGCTGTCAGAACACATTAACAACTGACTAGCATGCACTTATGTGTTTGAGCTGAGTCTCTTTGTACTGAACCTGTAAATCATTAAAAATGCTCATGGAGAGTAGTTTATGTGTTTTAAGACTTCATACCTTTTTATTCTTGTTTCATATCTGAAGTAATGTCCCAATTCCTTCAGTTTGGTGTGTTGTTTACCTGCATTTGAACTGCCCAAAAAAATACAGATTTTATTTATTTAAATAGATAAACTCTTTCTGTGATTCTCAAAAATAGTGTTGACTGCTTTACAGAACCCACCACTACCAAGTTTCTCAACATCCCACAGCATTTACTTAGCAGCCTTCTCCTCTAACCTGTATTTTTCTTCCTCTACAGCCAAGTGTCTATCTATGAGGGAGACAAAAGGGATTGCCGCAAATTCTGCACCACGGGCATTGACGGAGCAATGAGTATTTGGGACTTCAAGGTAAGCTTATTTACATATTTAAGGTTTGTTTTTGCTTTACAACCTCTGGTGTTGACATGTTTTGTTGTTGTTTTCTCCTCAGAGTCTAGAAGCTTCTATCCAGGGTCTCCGCATCATGTGAAGAAATCTTTTGAATAAATGAAAAGTCGCTGCTGCCTCACTTTTCCTCTTCTCACCCCAATTCTCACCCCACCTCCCCTCTTTGTCTCTCTCTCTGTCCCTCCTCTTGTGTGGCGCAGCCAGCAAAGTACATAACTGACCACCCTAACGAGTGTCTGTTGAAGCACTGATCAGACCATTAAACACTCTTCTGGGCCTGTCCTTTACATGCTCACAAACACACTATACTCACTGAGCTGATGTGTGAGATCACTACTTTCTTTTTCTTGTTTGCTTTTAAATGAAGGTTAATCAGATGCAGAATGGGAACGTCTTCTGACACGTAATAAACGTGATGTGACATGTGTGTATTTTTTTTATGTTCTCTAACCTCCAGTACCAAAAGACAAACACTAAAATGTGTGTTTTATCCCCCCCCCCCCAAAAAAAAATAAATAAATAAATCCAGACTGTGTTCCCCCTCACTCCAATCTGATCATGATCTCCAGTCAAGGGGTTAAATAACAGTACACTCAGCAAAGCGATTGTTGATCCTCACTGAAGGATGGTACATAATATTTAACAGATGAAACTGTCTTTTTGATTGAGACCAGGGGTTATTAATGTACACGTTGACTGTTGCCCTAATGTAAACCTGTAGAGGATCTGATGTTTGAAGTGGGGAGCAGCCTTTAAAACTGTGCAGCACCAGGTCTGGCCAGCACTAAGCTCTGTAACTACCACACTAAATCCACAAATGATGGAGGATTTCTATGTAACTGATCATGAGGTAGACATGAAATAAAGATGAAGTACATTTACACACAACTTATCTGAGTTTTTCTTTATTTGTGTTTGTTTTCCGACTGAGTGGCTAGCAGTGATTTTTACTTCAGTTGTGCAGGTTTCCCTGCTTCCAGTCCATCTCACTGCGCTCTGTGTGGTTGATTTTTGCATTTCCATTGACTCACTGATTGGTGGATTTAAAGCTTCAAGTCTCATTCCCAGATGAGATCACAACAGTTTATTTCAGCCACACACTTTCCTCGTATAAATCGATTGCATGAGTTGTTTAAAACTTAGGGGTTTTATCTGTAATATATGCACCCGGACAGTTGGATTTTGTGTCTGATCAGCTGATTTACATTAAATACAAACATTTACCTTATTCAGAGTTTTAATATTTTTCTTTTATACCAGTCCTCATGCACGGTTTATGATAAAGTGAAATGTATCTGGACTTGTACGGTATTATAATTATTAGTACCAGTACTATCTGTTTATGACGGGGCTTGATACATTTTTCTTATTTTTTAATGCACATTAACCATGGCCCACTATTGTCACACCAATCTGCTGTTATCAATATATTTTCATAAGGTTTGCGCTTTAAGCTCCTTTCATTTGTCCCAGGCCACAGTATCTTGCACTAAGCAACATTCTGGATACAGTATGTCATATAGTCCTGTTGGACTGTTCACCCCTGCTCTCCTAGCAACAGCAGTCCTTGCATAACTGGCTGAGCAGGGTGGAGTTGTGGAAAAGTGCCGCTGTTTACTTAAAGATATGTGAAATATTCCAGTAAAATGGTAAATGGTCTGTTTAGACCTTGCCCTTTGTTCTTTAAAAGGTAAACTCTTTGGTTTTACATAAGCTGTAGATTGTAAATACATAATTTTTTATGTTTATTTACAATTTCATCTCCACTATCACTTGTGAGTTGTAACTTTTGGCCCATATTAAATTTTTAATTAGTACACTGACTGCAGTTTTGTTTGCAGTGCAATAAAAATATTGCTAGAATGATGCAAAGAAATATGTGTACTACAGTTTGAACTAGAGTTGTGTTACTTGATGCAAATGGTGAAACGTGTTCTGATGTTAAAAAAAAAAAAAAAAAAAGTGTACTACAGTTTGAACTAGAGTTGTGTTACTTGATGCAAATGGTGAAACGTGTTCTGATGTTAAAAAAAAAAAAAAAAAACAGCTTTGATTGAAGGCACTCTTTGTATCAGCATTACATTGTGGATTGGAAGCTACATTGCTTTGAAAAGGAGGACAGCACACAGGGTTGTGGGAGCAGTCTACCAGATCTGGAAATCCGTTTATGCTGCAGGCATGTGGCTATAACAGGGCCAGGCACATCACTACATCCTACCAACCTAAGAAATTTACTGTTCATCCAACTTCCACCAGGAAACTGCTGCATTAAGCTACTGTACAGTATGTCCGGGACAGCCATAATTAATCAAACCAAAGTAAACAAATAGTAAGCCAATACACAATCTAGCATATTGGTAGAAAAGGGAACATGTCATTAGATGGATGAGGAATACAGATATACACATGATGAACTTACCTGAAGCTCCTTTATATACAAGTTATATACCACTGATTCTTAAAAATGGGGACGAAACATGTCCTACAGTACATTTTAACAATCTATACATTAAACGTGATCTACATAAATTAAAAAATTATATCTGAAAGAGCAGTGCATACAAAAATCTATTTTTGCCAACTTTTAAAACAATTTTGGGGGGCTTTGTTCAAATTTATGGCCTGTAGTTATAATGGTCATATAAATTGATGTGCTCTGCAAGAGGTCACCATATTGGCCACACCCACCCCACCCCCCCCAAAAAAAAATTCTGTTAAGTAAAAATACATTTAAAAATCATAAATGTAATTATTTCCCTAAAAATATGTCAAAGTTGTCCCCAATTTCTGTAAACCTGGTAAGTTTTTTTTTTTTCAAAAATCATTGCTAAAGGGAATTAAGGTAGATTTGTCTTTATTATTAAATAAACATAAATAAAAAAATAAAAAAAACATTGCTGACTCTGATTTTGTTATTTGTTCATTTGAAGCAACTTCTTTTTTGATTGAATGATTAAGACAAAAATGTCCTTCCCATTAAATGGTCCAATCAAAAAATGATATTACTTCAATTAAAAAAAAGCTGCTTTAAACAAAAAATACTTGACTTCTATAAAAAAAACCATTTTTAATCAAAGAACAGCAGTGTTCAAATGTAATTTATTTGAGTCTCCAATACTGCGTTCCAATACTTTTTTCTTTGAAAATCATTTAAATTCCATTTAAATAGCATTATTTATAATTGAAAATATGTTTTGTTTGATGGAACCTTTTTTTTATTTATTTTTTTTATTGAATAATAAAGACCCAAATCTACCTTCATAGAAATTGCATGGCCTGTACCCCTCTTCTGCTACCTTACTCTGCAAAAATACACACGGTCTGCTAAGATTAAAATTTTTGCATATTTTAAACAATGTTAATACTTCTATGGTAACAGCTGGAACATGTTGGCACCATTTCCTGATTTTGAGAAGTAAATTTAACTTTTGTGGACTAAAGTTGAGTATTTGAGGCTACTGGGGCAGCCAGCATGTGAAAAAAAAGACTAGTTTAAGTGTCCAGTACATGTCTTGAAGGGGAAATACTTTTTGTCAACTCCTTCAAATTCTCTGCCTGATGGAGCTGAAATTTGGGTTTTCAGAATACAGTGAAATCCCAACAGAAGTTTTTTTTTTAATTATTTTATTGTATGTTAATGGAGACAAATGTTACCACATCATCTTTCAGGATTTTGGTTTAATATTGGACAGAAAAAAAGTTATTTCTATTGCATCTGACTGAGTAGACAAAAATCAACTTTTAGACTTGAATATTTAAATTTGATCAAAAAGAGATTTTGTTTATAATCTCTTCCTTTAAATGCTTAGACATTTCTTTACAGAAACATAGAATTTCAACAAATAGTTGGCATTTGAAAAAAAAAACAACAGTTTTTTCCAGTAATCTAAAGAATCCCTGACATCTAAATATTTAGTTTATTTCAAACATGTATACATATAAGAAAAGTCCTTTATCCTCATACGATGTCAGTATAATGTTAAGGAGCACCGTGAGCACTAAAAAAAATAAAAATCACTTGTTAAAGATTTTCTCTTTTAGTTTGGAATGTACAGAGGATAGGGAAAGAGTGCCCCCTAGTGTTAGGCCAGTGTAAGCACTAGAAACGTGACCCTAAAAAAGCTTTTTTTTTTCTCAGTCTGACAAAAAATATCAAATGAAATGTTTCCTCTCTTAGGTCGTTTGTGTTATGGAACTTTTTTTTGTCGTAATTGGACTAGTTTCTTTAGTTTCTCTCCCAAAGTTAACGTGCAGTCATGGGTAAAAAAAAAAAAGAAAGAAAGAAAAGAACTTAGACCAATTATGTTTTCTTATACTTTTTGAATAAGAAACTGAAGAAAAAAATGGTATTTGTTTTCTTATGAACTATAAGCCTACCTTGCAATACACCATCTTCTATTGTCCCCAAATTGTCCACTTTGAATAAAAAAAATCACAATTCTTAAAAAGAGAAATGCTTTTATTAGTCAAGGATTAAGCAAATACAAAAAAAAATATTTGTTGAACAAAATAAAAAAGGAACCACAAAAAAAAAAAAAATAGTACCAAGTGCTATGTTTTTTCCTTGAGTTTGCATTTAATTAAAAACCATAAAAAACTGTTTCATTTAGGTTTAAAAACAAACCTCTTCGATTTATATATAAAAAAAAATTCATTTAAAGTAGATCACAATATGCCAAAGCGCTTTCTTTGTTGGTATGACCCCATGCTTTTTTTTTAAAGCCTTTCTTCATGCAGAAGTGCCCACACATCCCTCCCCTTTAACTTTTCTGTGTTGTGCCTCTCCCTTCACTCCTCATCTCCGCCTTTTGGTGTAAAATTGAATTGACTTCATGCTCCTCCTTCTTTTTTCTTTTGGCCTTTTAGACTCACCCTTTAAACCCCTTACTTATTCAAAGAAGGAAAAAAAAAGTTAAATTCCATTATACTTAAATTTCTATTCCCAATGCTAAACCAAGAACCCCTGCAGGGGGAAAAAAACAGATTCCTGCATGTGTAAGATTATACCCTCCTCCACTTCCCTTTCTGAACTTCTCCACCCCTCTTTTTCAGTTTCAGCTCTGCTCTTCCTGAGCTCACTCTGTTGTTGGCGTTCGCGTTGACTGTCCAGAGTCCGCGAGCTGAGCACTCCCTGCCTCTCCCTGCCTGTTTTTACTCCCTCTCTCCCATCTCAGCAACCACATTCATCTTCCTCCTGCCCTCTGGGTAAGTAGCCCATGATTTCTTTTCGAGTTCACTGAACATGTCATGCTCACACACCCACATGCACATTCTGTAAGGGAAGCACAGATTAAGGGAAAATAAGTTGCACTAAGAGAAAATGCAAGTGTTTATTATGTAAAATTATCTTAATATTGCTGCTTGTAAAGACATTGGCTTCATTTTGAGTAACTTTAATACTTTTTTCCACTTTTATAAGCAAACTTTTGAGTGTGGTTTCCTTTAGAGATGTGTGCTACCCTTGACCTGCATAGTTCCTAACATTCCTTTGAAAGTCTGGATTTCATTAAAACAACCTGATTGAGATGCATTTTACAGACTATTAGGTTGTTTTCGTTTTTAAATATCCCAGTTTGGATCTTGCTGAAATACAGGAAACATCCCTGTTAATTATTGACTTTTGAGACTATTTTTTTACCCTCTCCTTTGCTTCCTCTTTTAAAAGTGTATATTGTAACTTCTCTTTTTCTGTTAATCTCTCAGCCCAAAAGCCCCTGGTTCCTCTCCCTACTTCCTGATCTGATTCTGACATCCGATTGGACATGGCGTACCATAGCTTCCTGCTGGAACCAATTAGCTGTCATGCATGGAACAAAGATCGAACCCGTAAGTCTGGATTGAAAAATGTCTCCAAATGGCCTCATCTTTGAACTGTTTAAACCAAATGGTCCCACTTTCTTTCGCTGAGCTCTTACTGTGCTGTCAGCCGAAGCTTGTGATTGGCTCCAAGGTAGAAGAAGGTATTTCCTGTTTCCTGCATCAGCAAGGGTGGTGCCGTGGAACTTCTGAGAGGCTTTTGTGCACCGTTATCTAGAGGAAGCCAAAGCCTTATTTGGCTATTTTCATCGGTGACTTGATTTCTGAGCAAAGCGGATACAAATGACATCTATATTTGAGTCACACTTCTAGGCACACATTTAGCTTCACACACACCTTCCAACGTGAACCCTTGGGTTGATTCATCTGGTGAACAAAATAACACACCACAGCTCTCATGCTGCTTTTACAGAACACACTTCTGACTCATCTGCAGACTAAAACATGGGGTTTGCCACAGTTTATTGAAAAAGACAATGCTGTTCTCACAAGCTGTCCACAGAAACTGCATGTGTTTCTACACTTTTTAATGTTTTTGCCATCCATTTAACGTCTCTGTTTCATTCAAATGAAAATCCTTTTTAGTTTATGTCATTGGGAGACACTTTTAGCCTAAGCAACTTTCAAATGATTATATGCATACTGCAGTAAACATTATAGTTAACAATGAGTTAATTTTAAAGGAAGACCACAATTAATG